TATAAAAATGTTAAGAGACTTAAACCAACCACAAGGTGGTGAAGCAAATGAAATGTCATATGACGACAAATATAGACACTTCTCCATGGCAAAGATGAGACAAGTTTTAAATATTTACAATAGCCGTAAACAAAAAGGTTTGGGAAACCACTCCCCCGAAGAAATGAAAAACAACCCTGACTTAGAGAAAGACTATATATTTAATAATTTAGTCAAAAGAGACAAACAAGAAAGAATGCCGGGCTTCAAACTTCAGAAAGGTGACAAAGTAAAAATAGAAATACCTAAACGCGACCCATATGAAAAACTATTGACTATGACAACAATGGGAACCCGACAGGTACTCACATTCGTGTTCGTAAAAATAGAAGAAAGTATACAAGAGAATATTATGAAGTTTTAGGCCATGGCAAAATGTACAGACTGCAAGCAGAAGATAAAACTACTATTGTCAGACCTCGTTTCAAACTTGTCAAAGTTCAAGGTGGTATACTTTCAAAGACAGTTCCTAACAAATATAAGAGACTCCTGACGAATATGCTAAAGAAGTTGAAAATGACGACTAAGCAATTCTATACCATGCGTAAACTGTCATGTAAGGTGGCATGTAGTCTTTACTTTGTCCCGTTGTTTGCGTATATCCTGAAACGCGATGTGTATGGTTTCCTCCTCCCTCAGTGTTACTCCAGTAACAATCTATAGCAAACTTAACGTTGTCTTTAACATCATATCCTTTACCTTTTATCATTGCTGACCAATCCCAATATCTATGCTTATGCCAACCTGCTTGAGATGTACTTAAATCTATGTAGTGACTATGTGCAGGTAAATTTTCACCTGAAATCGTTTTACTTCCACCTGTTTCCTTTGAAGAGTTTGCACAATACAAAAACCTGTCGACTATTTGAGTCCAAGTTCCAAAACCCAGAACTGTTTCTGGTCTGGTAGAGTTCATTGACGTATAAATAGAGCCTATAGGATATAATGTTTGAAGTATTTCTGTCTTTAATGTTTGAAGCTCTTTTTTGTCTGCTTTCTTGTCTAACATTGCGGGTAGTTCATATGCTTCAAAGTTTCTGGCATGACTTTCAATGTTCCTGCAACTCTTATCTAAATTGTTAAGAGTATCTTTTACGCTTGTACTCGGATTCTCTAAAGGTGCACTTGAACCAAGGTCAAAGTTCAGTATTATGTCATCTGCTCTAACAGTTGTAAAACTTGTATGTGTATGAGTCTTATTTGCTTTCTTCTCTAACTCATCGTTAACATAAGTTTTATCTGCTTTAAGGTCTAAACATCCTGAAACCCATCCTGTATCGGCTTTAGTTTTTAAAATCTTCGATGTCCGTTCATGGTACCAGTCAACCCTTTCTATAATTTCATTATCTTTTTCATCCACATATTCCTTATCTGCTTTCTTCTCTAACGCACTAGCCACAAGTTCCTCATCCGCTTTCTTTTCAAGGCTAACGTTTAAGTCTGTTATTTCAGATATAGAATGTATATGAGTCTTTTTAGAATATTCGTTTTCAGCTCTTGTCACTTCACTTGACATTTATTGTCAACATATGTTTTGTCTGCTAGTTCAGGATGAGTATGTTCTTTTGTTGCATAAGCATTGTTAGCTCTTTCTTCTTCTTTTGCTATTGCATCGTCTACATATTCTTTGTCAGCTTTGTTGTCAACATCTGCTTTCAAAAGAAGTTCATTTATAGGTTTCTCGTTTAAAGTTCCTTTTGTTGGATTTATACAGACAGTATGGTTCTTATTGTCTTGAAATAGAAACTCATCTGTCATTGGGTTTAATGTCAGTTTTAAGTTTCCTTCTTTCAATGACTCAGATATCTTAGAATAGTTTGAAAAGTTTGTTGTGTTCTTATTTAGAGCTTGCATAATGAGTTGTCGGTTGTGTTGTATTTCTCTCATGGAAGCAATATCTTTCGACATTTTTATTCTAGATAAAATATGCTTTCAATAGAAAAAGAAAATTCAAGAGTTGCTACAACTAAACCATTAGATGAACTTTTTACTAATGTCGGTCAAAAGTTTGAGACAGAGACCGTAAAGCATGAAGGCTATCGTTTTGACTACCCATTAAGATGGCTAAGAGACCCATCCGTCACAAAAGCTATTGGCTTTCGTAGAATGAAGTTCATTTCAGAAGCCATACATGGTTTCCCATTTACGGTCGGTTTTGAAGTTCGATACTATAACAAAGAAAAACGTATGTATGAGAAATTTGAACAGGGAAAACTTTTACAAGTTAGTTTGCTTGTAAACTTAGAAACAACTCTTCAAGCTTTTCAAGAAAAAATAAACGATATCTATCTCGAATATGCAAACCAGTATAACATTGACGAAGGAGAATACCATCTCGATATTATTTATGACAGGAAAATGCAACTGTTAAAATCAATAAAATAGAAGACCTTGGAGAAAACGTTTATATTTCTACAAAATATAACAACTTGGCATGGTATAGATTTATGAGGATGTTAAATCAGCCTGCAGCATATCCAGTACACCCAGACTTTTATGAAGTCGAAAACCCTAATGGAACATATGAAAATGTTTTCGACCCAGATGCTATTATTGTTCATGCTTCATTTTCTGGCGCCCAAAACTCTTTCTTATGCTTGGCAAATGACTTTTACGAAAAACCTACAAAGTTATACGAACCACCAAGTGGAAGTATTTCAGACTTTCAAGTATGGTTTACTACAGATGGAAGAAAAAGAATAATTCCATTATACCATGCGTTTTACTTAGAACTTAGTTTCATATACAACTACTATCGAACGGTAAAAATATAATTTTTAATACGGTTGAGGTGTTGGATTTGGTTGCCAACTAGACTGTGGTGCAGGTTCAGGCTGTTGTATAACAGGAGCTTGCTCTTCTGGTTCAGGGTCTTTAGGTATAATACCAACAAACTGACCTACCCTTTTACCAATATTTTTGACACCGTTCCAAATTCCTCTTCCTACGGTTTTTATTCCATTCCATATACCTCTTCCAACATTTCGAAAGAAGTTTCCTATCTTACTGAAGAAACCCATTTACTATATGTAAAAATCTAATGTCCGCCTAGTCTCTTACGTTTCCTGTTGAGTTCCATAGCATTCTTTAACTGGAGCTCATACATTCTGTTTCTCCTCTGGTAGAAAACATATTCTGGGTCAACTCCTGTGTTCGCGTCATCTGCATAAAGTTGTTTATATCCCACTTCAGGGTTTGTATAAAACTCTTTCCATCTCATATTTGCATACCATGGTGGCAAACCTAACGCAGCGTCATTTGACATGGCAGTTTGCATTTGTACATCTGTTGGCACTTGACCATAGTTTGCCATTGCAGTTTGTATTCTAACTTCATTTGGAATATTCTCTGGGTTTGGTTGTCCAGGTTGCTGTGCATTCGCTAAGTTCTGTGCGTCCATTTAATATTAGATAAAAATATCTCTTACGAGTACATATACTGAACATTTGCAGGCATTGGTTCATCTTCATATTCTCTATATCTTTCTGCCACGTCAAATAAATAAATGACACAATGGAAAAAACCTAAAACAAGTAGTCCTATTTCAAACCACATTTACTTACTAATAAAATTTCTTTATTGTGACACTTTCTCCAGTTTATAGGACCTCTCTCATATTCTATCTTGTCATATATAAACTCATAGTCATGTATGTCCTCTAACCATCTCATAACGGTTTCCAAACCACTTTTATCGGATGTAAAGTAAAAGCATGGATGGTTATGTATAACGTCTAAAGTTTCTAAAGAGTCTCTCAAAGTCCAGTCTACTTGGTATTGAAAATCCCATGTGTTATAGAACGGTGGGTCCACTATAAAGAAAACATTTTCCTTGTCTTTATATTTTTCATACAACTCTGTCCAATAACATCTCACAAACTCTATACCCTCAATATATTTTTCTATGTCCTCTTTGAAAACATTTGTATAGTTAAGATATAAAACTTTTGACATAAGTGTTTCAATGTCATGAACTCTTATAGAACCACTATATAATAGTCTAGCAGATATACTATCCCAGTCTATATATTCTGCTTTTTTCAAAACCTCTCTCACAATATTTTTCTTATCTAATGGTATACGTTCCATCTTACCTATCTGAATCTTTTCTTTTAACTCACTCAATATTTTGTTAGTGTCTGGAATATGTTTGAGACGGTCCATATAGTTGTCGAAGTCATTGCATATAATCTTTGAGTCTGGGAATATTGTATGGCACAAATGGGATATATAGAAACTTCCACCGAACAAATCTACAAATGTTAGACCATTCGGTAGTTTCTTAAGTTCTCTCAATATAATATCTTTACATTTACTCTTATTTCCAAAGAACGGTAACGGTGGTTTTGTAAAATTCATTTATATATAATAATAAAAATGTTTTTTTCCTGAAAAGTGACAGAAAAGTGACAAAACATGAAAACATATATAATTTGTGAAAAGCGACACATTATATAATGTTTTCGACCCAGAAGAAGGCTTCTTCCCAGAAGCAATGGAGGAAGAAGAAGAGTCCTCTGAATTCACACCAGAAGACTAACAATTTTGCGAATAAAAACTTCATTTATACTAAACATCTTCGGGGCTAGAGGGCACGAAGTGCCTGGAAGCCCCACTACCCTTTTTTTTTTTTTCTTTTATATATATTTCATGTAGCTCTGCTTTTAATTTAATATTCTCATAAGATAATTTCATTGGATCATCATGCTTAAAAAAATTATAAGGAACTGTGAAAGAAACAGCATTTTATTTGATAAAATTTGTTCTAGCCTGAATCGTCAATCTGAAAGGTTCGATTAACTAGAAATAAAGATATTCTTTTGAATTTATCTGAAATAGGTTATCCGAACTATCATTTTTGATAATTAACTTCATTTTCCGATGAAGTTAGAGAATCTAATTCTTTTAGTCTCTGATGAAATTCATCGGCTACAAACTGAATTGCGACAAATATCGCAAAAAATGTTTGTAAAATGCCTACAGGATGATTTGACGAAGCTTCGTTTTAAAATTTGTAACCAAAACGCATCTACTACTGATATTCTTTCACCATTCAAAGAAATTCTAAGTCAACCTACATCAACAGATGCAATGACTCTCATTGCTGTTATATCCATCATGGTTTTCCTCGAAAATAAATTAATTCATGATGAAATCGATTTTAATTCTCTTATTCAAGCATTATGCAATTGTCAATACCAACTTACATCAGAAATAGAAAGTCTCAATCTATCTGTTCAAATACTTCGTTGTTTTTGTTTGATAATTCAAAGTGAAAACCTTCAGTTTATTACAATTGATTCAATTGAGTCAATATTTCATTACTGTGAACAAGACATTCGCCAATTATCACAAAGAAACGTCCATTCTTCAATTCTTTCCGATTTATTTTGCCAAGTCTCATATATAATAAGCGAAGATTCACGATATACAAGTATTAGAGAAAACGTTTTTAGAACGCTTTTTTCGATTGCAGATCTTTCTTACATAGATAGCGGTTCTTACGCCAGAGGAGCAGCTTTGAGAGCACTTTTACGATGTTCCAAAGCAGATTCAGTTAATAATTCAACAGATATGATATGTATTACGTCGGTTTTACTTACACAGCAATTAGATTTTTCAGATAGCAGAGATAACTTAGTAATGTCATTAAGATTGTTTTACTCAGTATTTAGACGTCAATGGAGGACAAAACTCGTTCCTTTTACAAGATTATTAAATTCATTATTAGATATATGCATTTCTAATGTTCCATCAAGCATAAAAGCCATTATATTCGAGGTTATAATAGATTTCATTACAGAAGACAACTTCTTCCTTGAGTTCTTTTCGGAATTTTACGAAAGACCGTTTTTCCCTTTAATTTTTGAGAAATTCTTAACAGTTATATCAATGTTTGCCAACGTACCACCTTCAGTTCCTGATGTACATTTCTCTGCTGTCAATATTTTGTCAATAATTATTTCAAATATCAAAAAATATGCTGAAAAAGACTTTATTATGAACAAAACAGACTCATCAAATAATAAATGGGAAAAGGAAGCAGAATTACTAGAAAAATTAACTTCTTTCTCTAAAAAATTTCAAGAAGATCCAAAATTTTTACAAGATTCACAAATTTCTCCACCAGAAGCAGCATTTTGTCTTGCAGTTGCACCAGGAATACAGAAACAAGCAATTGGAGAGCTATTCTCTAAAAATACTCCATTTTCTAATGACACAATGACAGAATTCATAAAATTATTTGATTTTTCATCGTTGGACTTCGATGAATCCATCAGATTATTCCTTACATCATTCAGGATACTGGGAGAAGGTCAAGTTGTTGATCGAAATCTAGAGTATTTCTCAAAAATTTTTTACGAATCTCATAAAAATGACAAAAATTTCAAAAATGTCGAAGCTGTTCATATTTTGAGTTATGGATGGTTGATGTTGCACACTTCTCTCTATAACCAGAATGTTACTAAAAAGAACACATTACCAGAGTTCTTCACAATGTTGAAAGGACAAAATGATGGAGATGATTTTGATTCACAGTTTTTGACAAAAATTTACAACTCTGTAAAAAGACACGAAGTAGAAATTGGCGATGATACTAACAGGACAATTGCTTCTTGGAACTTATTACTACAGAAACAGAGAATTTTGGAATTAAAATATTCCCAAATTGATGAACTACAAAACAAAGAAAATTCTCAACTCCAAAATAAATTTTCTTTACAAAATGATGACAAAAATGACACTTTACAAAATGATACATTTCAGAAATCTCTCCGTTCTGAAACTACCAAAAATGACTTACAAAATAACTCAAGTTCACCAATTAAAAATGATGAAAAAGATTTAGAAAATAAAAGTGACAATTTACAAATTACAAAAAGTGACAGTTTACAAAATAATTATAATGATGAGAAAGATTATATTGATTTGGAGAAGTTGTTTAGACAAATTTGGAAAATTGCAGCACCAATATTTTCCATTCTTTATGAAAAATCTCCTGATTCCATTGATATTATTTCCTCTTCATTTTTAGATTGTAGTTACATTTCATCGAAATACCAGTTACATGATATATTAGATAATATTGTTGTTTCTCTCTGCAAATTCACTGGTTATGAAAACAAATCATCACTGTCAGAAATAACCGCAAAAAGTGCTCTAAAAACTTTGTCATCATTAGTTTCACAGTTTGGAGACCAAATAAATGAAGGATGGAAGTCTTTTTGCGAAGTTTTATTAAGTCTTTTTAGATTAAATTTGTTACCTGATGAATTCTGTCAACAGCCAATTATTATTGGACAACCAAACATGGTAACAATTTCTCCAAATTTGTTTTCATCGAATTCAAACATCAAAAATAATTTTTCGTCAAGTTTTCTCTCGATTTTCAAAATTTATGAGAAAAATGACACATTTTTAGAGAATGATAACTCAAACACATCATTGATGAATGACTTGAAAGACTTCATAAGTAACTGCAAATTTGATTCTTTAGTTAATTTGTCAATTACTTTTTCAAGTCAATCATTAAATTATTTGATTCAATCTTTATCTCTTTTAGCTAAAGAAACAATGACGAAACAGATTTTCTCAGACAGTTTGTTTTGTTTACATTTGATATCACAGATAATCATTACAAACTGTGATAGAGTTTTAGTTTTGTGGCCATTTTTGCATCAGTTATTCATTTCCATTTTTAATGACAGTTTTGTTCAGAAGAATTCTGTATTTTTAGAAAGAATTTCAACAATTTTGTTCTTGACAATTAATCATTTATGGCCACAGATAAAGATCAGACAAGATTTGATCAAGTTAACAGATATTTTAGTTGTTTTAGACAACAAACAACTAAATCCATTATTACTTTCCGGATTTAAAGAGTTTTTGAACTTGTTCTTGGATTCTTACATAGAAATGCATCAATTCAAGTCATTGAACCAGTTGCTGTATAATTCTATACAAGTTCAGAATCCTTCTTCTTCTCAGATTTTGCATACTTTTATTTCTGGAGTAATTTCTGATTCAAAAGCCCCATCTTTAGATAGATTTGCTGAATATTGGATGCCATTAGTACAAACAAATGTTATTTATTGTTTGAGAAATCCAAATTCTGATTTTAACAATTTTAATGATTTACAAAGTTTAGTTAATTTCGGAGGGAATTCACCAACAAATTTACAGTGGGAGTTTGTTTTTGAATCAACATTATTCCCTGCTTTGGAAGTGTTACCAAATGAAATAAGTATTCAATGGAATACAGGAACAATTGGAGCGAGATCTCTTCTACTTACAAAATGCATATTTAAAGTGTTCTTGATTAGTTATAAAGAGATGCTTGATTTACCTAGTTTTGAACAACTTTGGTTTAAATTTGTACAATTATCACTAAATGTAATGAAAGTTGGTGATTCTGACTTGAAAGCATCTATTCCACAATTACTTACTAATGCATTGATTGTTATGAAGTCATCAGGAGTTTTTGAAGGAGAAAATCGCACAAAAATGTGGAATGATTCAAAGGAACTTTTAGAACCAGTTGCGCCTTATTTCAGCCAACTCTGCAAAGATTTATAAGTTTTATATTTTATGTTTGTTTTTATTTATAAATAATTCGTATACTTAAGAATATTTGGCTATACAATTACAATACTAAGTACACATACTGTAGAAGTTTTCGTTATCATTCGTAAGAAAGCAAATTTTGATTGATTAGATTTGATTTCATTAAACATACTTATGACCAACGTAACAACGATTTCCCTAAGCAAACAAATTAAGTTACTCTATATATTATGTTCTTATATGAAGAATTTAAATTTATGAAGAAGATTATTGACCTAATTTAGAGTCATCTAAGCCATAAAAGAATCTACACATCTATAAGATAATTATTTTTGATTTTCATTAATAATATTACTTTGAGCTTTTTTTGGAATGAGGTCGACGATAAAATAATTTCGATTTAGCGTCCAGTGACATTGAAAATATGGATAGCTCTCCAGACAGTGGCGGGGAGTGTGATATATATTCAATGAATGATCGAATTCAACAGTTGGAACAGGAAAAATCAATATTAATACAAGAAAACAAAACATTAAAAAGCCAATTTGATGAATCCTTAAAAGAACTACAAAAAATAGATGAAATTAAGTGCGAAAATACAGACTTAAAGAAAAATCTCTCAGAATCTTTAACGAATTTACAAGATCTTCAGAGACGTCTCGATATTTCATTGAAAAATAACCAAGAACTGAACAGAAAGCTACAATCAATACAGGAATCAAATCAAAATTCATTTAATTTTGAGTTACAATCCTTGAAAAGGCAATTGAACGAGAATAACGAAAATCATGCAAAAGAAGTTGAAGAATTGCAACGCAATATTGATGACAATGCTGCTGCATTATCTGAAATGCAGAAACAGATAGCAATTGCTAATTCTCTTACTTCAAAAACAATAAATCTTGCAAACGTATTTTTCGAAGTCGAATTTCCAGACATATTTTCATTACATAGTTTCTTATCCGATGTTAGAAACAAACCAGTACAAACAACTCCAGAAATTCAAAACATTCAAGATAACGAACTATTATTAACTCAATTAAAGACGAAACTTAATAAAGAAAAGCAGAAATACCAGAGATTAAAAGTGGATCACTTTTCCCAGCAGCAAGACTTCCAATTCCAATTAAACGAAAAAGACCGCCAAATCTCTGAAATTACTGAGCGACTTCAAAAAGCAATTTCAGAAAATAACGAACAACAGCTCAACTATGAAAATCAAATTTCCGAACTAAAAATCAAGAAACCTACAAGAAATGCTTCAGTTCAAGTTATTTCAGTAATAAATACAACAGAACCAACACAATCATCGAGTGAAACAAATACTAATGATAATAATACTCAACTTTTACCAACTACAGACCAATCACAAGCCATAAAAGCGTTAAAAGCACAAAATGCAGATTTATTAGAAGAAATCAAGGACCTTAAACAGAAGAAAGACAAGCTAACAGAGAAACTAAAGAAATTACCACAAGATTCACAGCAGAATCTTGATACAGAACTGAAACGTCTCAAAGGAGAGTTAGATTTCAAGAATAAAGACATAGAAAGCATGAAATTACAATTAATGGCTGCAAGAGCATCAAACGAAGAAGCTAATACCACATTTATTGCTCTTAAAAACGAAAAAGAGAAAATAATTGACTGCTTAAACACATTACAAGGCCAATATGAAGACCAGAAGACTGAAATATCACGTTTAACATTCGAGCGAAACGGCCTTGCATCATTACTCCAGAGATTATCTAATATAACAACTTATTTGGAACATAAAGACCAAAAAGTGCCAAAACCGCTTCCAATAATTCTTCCGCCTTCAAAAACAGAAGAAATAATTTTATGGAATTTCGAACCGTTACCTGCTGACTTACGAGCAATATTAGAACGTGTTGCAAGTAACTATTCCGCATCAAACACAAGTAGACTCAAATCTGTTGTTTCTGTCGTTGGTCAGTACATAAATGACTTAAATGAGACAACTAAAATAGAATTATCAGAACTCAGACAGTCTATCAACGATTTTAATAAGAAGCATGTCCAGCTGGTGTCTGATTTGGCCGATGTTTTCGGTGAAGAAGTCAACGAATCAAATGTAATTGAATTTATTTTATCGTTGAAAGACCAAATCGACACATTAAATGCTGAATTAGAGTCATCCAATAGCAAAGTCATTGATTTTCTACAGAGATCAAACATGAATTCATTTGATGAAATTATTTCCAATTTTGCAAAGAAAGAAAAAGCAATTCAAAGCTTAACAAACCAATTAGAAGACGAGAAAGAAGAAGCAGAATCACTCAAACGAGATGTTAAGATGTTAAAGAAGGCATTTTCTCGTGCAGAGAAACAACTTTCTGCATCAAATGAATCATTAAAAGAAAGTTTACTTGATTGCGAAAATGCAAAAGCAAAACTAAGAGAACAATTGGCAAATCAAAGAAAACAATGCTGTGATCTAGTAAACGAAATGGCAGAACTCAGACAACAATGTAAAGATGAAGTAGACGAAGTTAGAGAGAATTATGATGATTTGCTTTCTCAAATCGAAATGTCTAAACTTGATAACTCCAACAGATCAAATACAGCTGTAAACACAATTAACTCAGAAAAACAAGCCATTCTGAAGAAGTTAAATGAAAAGGAGAAAGCTATTGAAAGACTTACAGATGAATTAGAGACACAAGCTAAAAGAAATCAACAGTTTTCAGATGAAATAGAAAGATTAACTGACAAAATTGATGAACAAAAGATTTGTTTCGATGAGAAATTATCCAAAGAGAAAGAACAGTTAATTAATGATTACGAGGCTAAAATCAATGACTACATGAAGAAATCTAAAACAGATGCAGAACTAGTTAAGAAGACAACAGAAACTCTTAAAAACAATGAACAAAAACAACAAATTTTGCTGCAAAAAGTGAAAGAATTGGAAAGACAATTAGCATTGAGTGAATCGCAGAGAAAGAATACAATAGAATGTGCAGAAAGACAAAAGAAACTCTTCGAAGCTCAGCAGAAATCAGTGATGATAAACGCGGATATTAAAAAGAGTGAATATACATATCAGATTAAACAAGAATATGAACAGAAAGAGAGACAAATAATTAACACTTTTGCTCAGAATTTCCATAGATTTGTTGATATCAACAATCAAATCGACATCAATTCATTCCAATCTGCAATTGTTTTGTTGAAATCTGAATTGGAAAGACTCCAAACAATAGAAAGATCTATTAGATCAATATGCGGTGCAAGCGAAGGTGACAAAACGGAGGACGCTTTGACCTTCTTTGCTATCCAGCATAAAAGAGCTACAAATTAAGTAGCTCTAAAAAAAATTTTATATTATTTTTTTGATAACAATATTTTATTATTTTGTGAATAAATAATTACTTATCTGTAGACTTAATAGTTCATTTTGTATCATTAATCTTCAATGACTGTATCTAATTATTTTACGAGTATTTCATAATCATATAGAGAGTATTCTTGATGTATTAGCTTTTTATATCGATTTTTATTTTAGTGTTGCATTGTGCTCGTTAAGAATTCATTTGAAATGGCCAAATTCGGTGAGATAAGGTGAAATTTATGGTAAAATTTTTGACACTTTTGACAATTTTATAATGATTTTATGGTGCCTTTTCATTGTAATCAAAAAGGATTTCACAGAAGGGAAGTCTGAACACATTGAAGAGACATTGAATAAAAATGATATTTTAAAGATTAGTGGATCTGATCCTTTAATGTCAATTTATTTGTACTCAACTCCATACTGTACATTCAAGCATTACATTGAAGGGCAACTCCATTGTAGAAGTAATGAATGCGACAAGATTTCATTTGTAGATTTTGGCGCTTCAATTGGCTCCATTGAAATTAAAGCAAAGAAAACAACTAAAGTCATACTTGATGTATTTACATTTCCAAGTGCATGCGAGAATACAAGATATATTACCAATAATAAGCCAACTACTCTTTATTTACAAAAGAATAACAGCGATTCAAGATTTAATATCACAAATGACCAAGTATTTTGCTATTGGCCCATATTGTATGGCACTTATGAATGGAAACTATCACTAGATTCAGAAAAAGACTATGATACTTTCAAATTAATGCTTCAATCAGAAGATAAACTCACATTAACAGGCAAATTACAACAGACAATACCATATGATTCTCCATTATACTGGTTTAAATGGACTTCTGATACAGAAAACGTTTCAAATTTTGTAAATCTTTCATTAGATTCACAAAATACATCAACGTTCAATATGACATATTATTCTAATAGAGATAGTCTTACAAGTATTAAAATATTAATGAAAAACGCTTCTGATGAAAATTCATCAGTTTTAATTTTTAATCGACATAATTCTTACAAAAAGGTAGCCATAGCAATATTTGTTCTGATAGCTCTGATATTATTTGTTGTTCTTATATGTGTTTCTGTTTATATTGTTGCACTTGTTCGCGAACGAAGAAAATACATAGAAGAAAACGAGTCTGACGTCCAAGAACTTATGGATGATTTCACTTTTGTTAGTAACTCTCAAAATCTTCCCCAACCAATTTCATTTAATTGAAATTTTTTATTTCTGTTTTGTATTTTTATTTCATTTGAGAATATATGAATCTAATTCTCATCAAATAAATCTTTACCATGTAATTTTATTAACTTAATAACTTTTTAATAAATTTTGAATCAATTTTAGGATTTTTGCTCTTTGTTCTGAGATGGCTCTTTAATTCATATAAATTAAAGATATATCCCTATCATTTGAAAACATAATGAATGAATGCAGCCCGGAATATATTGACAAACTTATTGATAACCTAATAAATCAATCAGAGAATAATATTAATGATCTGCAGGATTATTATATCAATATTGAACCGACTAATGAGCTCTTTCTATATCTTTTTCAAAAATTATTATCAGACCAGCAACCAGTTAAGGTAGCAGCAGCGATATTAATCAAAAATAAGATCATCCAGTTTCCAAATTCGATAAATATAATATCCATTCAGTCTTTATGTGAGCTAATTGAATCATCTGATTCAGATTTTCAATATCATCTAATGCAAATTATATATGAAATTGTAAAATCTAGTTTTAAACTCTCAACTATTCCAGATCTCCTTCACTTCATTGAAGAAAATCTCAGTATTTATCCAATTTCATCAGCAATAATCATCAGGAAAATGCTTCGCCCTCCTATGCGTATCAACATTATTGATGGAATTGGAGAACGATCAGATTTGAATAACATTCTCATAGGATATATCAATCAAATTCTTTCATCAATAAATGATGATTCAAATAGAATATTTATTCATATAATTGTAAGCTGTGCACATCGGATATTGAACTTCTCTATGATTGAACCATTTGAATTTTGGTTTAATTTAATTAACACAAAATTACTCGATTCTAAAAATAATGAAATCGCAGTGCCTCCATTTTTGAATAAAGATGTAGCAAAATTAGCAGTTTCTCTTATTGAGCTCCATGGAAATTCAATTCCAAAAGATTATCTTTTACATATCTTTGAATTTATGATACAATGCATAAAAAATGGTTGCCAAGACGAATGCATTGCATATTGTATAAGATATTTTACCAGGTGTATCCAAAACGAATCAATCGTTGAAGAAATATCTCAAATTCTTCCAGAATTGTGTTTGACAATTATTTTAGATCAATTTAACTTAAAGAAAGATGAGACAGAACAATTCACTTCGGATTCTCATGAATTTATATCAAAAATTTATGATATTAGCCAATTACAGTTTGAAATACCAAGATCAGCTTCCAGGTGCCTTCTGACAACATTAACGAAATTGCATCCAGATATTTCTTTAGCGGTTTTAGAAAACATTACTATTTCATCAACTTCAATTTTCCAAAGTTGCCTCTTCATATCTTCATTAATAACTGAATTAGAGAATAAGCAAGATTACATTAATTCTGCTTTAGAAGCTATATCACAGAATTGTAATGACAATCCTATTAATTGGGCGGGATTTTATTATTTAATTTATGATACACAAAGTAATATCGAAATTGATGAGAACCTACTTAATTTTACAATAAATTGCATTCAATCAGATATTGATACTTTATCTTTCTTTGCAATTATTGCATTACCTAATTTACTTTCAAATGAAATATCAAATATGATTATTTCAGAAACAGCATTCAATATTATTCAACGAATATTACAATTGCAACAAAAATTACCATTTGATTCAATATTTTCTGCAATGAATAACTTAATTGGGTATTTTCAAGATATTTTGGATAATAATTCTGCTGATTTGATAGAACGTTTAACTAATATAGCTTGTTCAAATCCATTAGAAGTATTTTCCCATGATGATTTCATTTTATGTTTTAAATTTATCTTAGAAAGATTCGAAATGAACGATAAACAGGAGATTCTGATTCAATCTATTCTTAAATTATCAAGTTTACACAGTATTGAAGGAATTGGAGAAAGATTAGGTCATTTATTTGTAATTTTGCTTAACAACATTATAATTGATGACCAAAGACTATCATATCTGTCGATATGTATTAGAAAGATGTTCCAGAGAGGTGATCTCCCTTTCAACACAACCACAGAAATTTTTAAGAATCTTTGTTTTAAAGTACTCTCCGATTCTATGGCTGAAGAACTATCTTCCGTTTGTCGGATGATCCTTCAACATTTAGATAAGTATTCTAACTCAACAATTCTTTTTGAGTTATTATTTGTAACTTTTGGATGTGACAATGTAGTACAAGAGTTTATTGAACTTTTGGACGCATATCCTGGATATATAACCGCTGATATTTACACTTCTATAATCAATGTTTACCCAAATATACTTGATGATGAAATAATTCTGAAAATAATTTTGCAGCTTTCTTCCCCAATATCTTTTTTATATGCCACAAAAGCTATTTATGAAAGATTTTCACAAAATGGTGAATACTTTGAAAAAATTAGACCATTAATTCAAGAAAGGTTATATGAATGTTTAGAACTATCAGCATCGATAGAATCATTAATATACAATGTCCAGGATTTAATAGAATTCTATAATCATATCTAAATCTTAGAAACAAAGGGTGTCCAACAAAAAATTGGAAAATTTTCGAAATATTATTTATGAATTTTCTCTATGAATATGAGGCATTAGCAGGTCTTTCTAAGATGAATATATAGTTTGTTGGATGGTGAATTCATCGAGATGATGAACATGAATGAAAGACTTAAATTATTAAATATATCTTTGATTTATATAAAATTCGAGTTAATAAGAAAATAATAAAATACAATAGTAGTATCTGATTTTTGTATTATTTTTAATGAGAATTTTTATAACTTTTTTTTGACCAGTGATATTTCGATCTAATTTCTATATTAGAACGGAAACATGTAGGTAATCAATTGTTGCAAATAAGAAGTAAATTCCAACTTAGGATTTTGTGATACGAATTTGATTTTGCTAATAATAAGATAATTAGATGCGTTTTCATTTGAATAATGTATGGTTACATGTATCAGATTTGAATGATAGATCAGAATAATAGAAACTAAAGGGAAATAATGAATCTAAGAAATTAACGGATGAAATAAGAAATAAGCTGTTAAAAGATATAATCAATTAACATACAAAAGCATATTTGTAGAATTAAAATCAAAATTTCAACTTTTTTTGGCATCAAAATTCTTTGACACCAACTGAAAAAGCAAGCTTCAAACAAGGTAAATATCGAATGGCAGCCACATATTTACATGTGGCTGCCATTATTTTGTAAATATATCGTATTTCTGAGATTTTGAAATTTGGTCGCCTATCCAATAAAGATAGGCGACCGCTGTAATATAATTATATTTTTTACAGCCCTATTCGAGTTTGTTCATAAACTCAAATAGGGCCGGAAGTGGGTATATAAGGAGAATTGAGAAACCCACTCCATATATATAATTTACAAAAAGTGTCAATAAAAAGTAATAATCGTTGTTTCAATAAAAATGATATTAAATATATACCTATATACTATATATTAGATTTTTAAAATTTTTAATGAAAATTGAAGACTCAAAAAAAATTGATGCAATATGAAATCAGAAGTTGACCACATTCGATTGGAATTGCTCTATTTTCAATTGAATCTATCATTTTCAATCGGATATGATCAAATTTTGATTTCTTGTCACAATTTGTTTGCAATATTTGTCAATTTGGCCAGACACATATAGAGATGCATTGTACTTATTGTGTCATTGCATACCTACATGTATCTGGCCAAATAGACGAATGTTGCAAACAAATTGTCTTCTGAAGTTGAAATTTGGCCATGTACAGTTGTATTTGATAATTTCTATTAGAAATAGGAATATCACAATTGTGTTTGGCCAAATAGTAATTTTAAATTTCAATCGATCTGCAAACTATATAAGTTTGCCAAAATTCAATTATTTTCATAATATAAATGAACTATACTTTCATTTGTTGAGTGAATTGTCTTATTTACAGTTCATTTTCCAAATTTAATAACTCTAATTAAGTTCAAAATCTGTTAATTAAATTAAAATTAATATTCTAAATAAATTAGAATAACTTTAATCGTTAAAATAATTCATGATTTTAAGTATTTATTATTAAAATCTTAATTTTTCAATTCATTTTTAGAATTTCAAAATTAATTTGGTGGTATTTCATTCAATTCTATTTGAATCATATTGTATTCAATTCACCAGATACATTTGTTGTTCCAAATAAATTATTTTTTTGAATAAAATACGATTTTTTTCAATTCAATTTTTATTTTTATTTTTTAATGGGGTTAGCTTATTAAATTAGGCTAATCCTTTCATAAACAGCGACAGTCTCACACTCAGGCTTTCAACTGGGCCTGAGAAGCCGAAAATCCTCAGAGTCAAGTTCCTCGACAGTCGCCCTCATTAGGATCGATCCGAGAGGAACTTGGCTCTGAATGAAATTCACAAGCTCTGGCCTCAGCAAGGACCAGAGCAACACAACTCTAATGAGTTTGTTTTCACTCATTTGTATGTAGGTTTTTAGTTCGATTGGAGCTGCTTCATAATGAGATCTCTCATCAATTGACGAGGGAGATCATAACAAAGCAGCTCTAATGTATATGCTCGTATTAACCGGGTTGTAATGCGTTGTAACGTCAGCTTGTAGTTCGTTTGGGGCCACTTCACATTGAGATGAGAAGAAATGATTAAAGGACTCTGAAAGGCTTTGGCCGTTGATGTTGTAATCGCATTACTTGGAACTAGCTGGATGCTAAGCTGTGTAGAATGTTCGATTAGAGCTGTTTTGATATGATTTTTCTCATCATAAGATTGGAGGAATCATAGCAAAACAACTCTAATGGGTTTACCATCAGTTAGTATCCCTATCTTGGGTACGGCGGCACTGCGTTCCACCTTACCCAAGATAACGGTTTGACACTTTACAAAACCGCTAACGTATATTTTACAACACAAACGACAACACTAACTTAACCTTAAATATTTACAAAACCGCCAACCACTTCACCTCACTAACATTTTCGCTAACG